ATGGTGACACATTTTCTCAGACACATTCAGCCAGGGGGGATGTGAATAGATCCATCAACAAAATCGATTTTGTTCTTCACTTGAGAGCGAGAAGCATAGCACGACACCAGGTAGAGTATTTTTTTTTATTCTGAAGCGGCTGAGAAACGAGTACCACTCTACGTCCACCGAAGCGAGGGATGAAGAAAGAAATATCTGGATCTTCGATCGGAGAACGAATTTGAACGGCCATAGTTGAGATCGGAGAAAATCAGAGAGCGAAGCATAGAAGCATGAGAAAGTCTTCTAAGACTATATTGAGAACTAAATACCTAGTTGTCATGGAAGTTGAGCTTGAGCTAAGAAAGATAAGAAACTATCTGGAAAATATTTGTATTTTCACATTAACTTATAAAATGTACGTACTTGTGGAGGTATTTTTACAACTATTTAGTGAATTATTACAAATGCCAACTAACCCTAAATTACATGTGTACAATACAAGTATAAAATGCGCTGAAAAATGAGTATAATCCGTATATTCCAATTGTACCAGTACAGGTGATACCTGAGACAGTGTTGGGTTATACAAGCTATTGGGATGCTTCTCAAGATGGTCTGTCTTTTTTTTTTATATATATATTTTTTTTCTGAAAAAATTAAATTGAAATCCTGTTAAAAATTGAGGAAGTAGGGGATGAATATGATTTGAACCCTCGACCTCTAAACTAGTAATAGATGCTAGGTGCCAATGCCTCGAGATTGTTTGGGTTGTAGACGCTAGAAGTTTTATGATATTTTCATGTATTTATGTTAGGAAAGTATGAGCCCAACCCAACAAGCATTCTTGTTTGGGTTGATTTGAGAATAGAGGAAGACGTTTCTTATGAGGAAAACTATTCCTTTGGACAAAGTTAATGGATGGAGACCATCGGATGGGTAAATGTAATTGTTTCCAATTCCAAATTAAAAGAATTGAATATGTAAGAAGTGGAATTTTTAATTGTAAAGCCAAAGGATCGGATATGTTCACTTTACACGTGCACCACATTATGTAGAGATGCCATAAATTTTTAATCATTATAAGTACTTCTAATTCTATTTAAATTATATTTATTTTCGGAATCTAGATCTATCTGTGACAAAGACAAAGCGCCCTCAACTATAAGAACCATCAATATCAAACGATAATGTGAATATTGGACGACCGACTAATGATATCGTCCAAGAAGAACTAACTCAAGGTATTCACGCTCAATCCGAGTAGAAGTTAATGTGAATATTATTGAGGCCGTCCTCGGATTAAGATTCCCCAATAGTGTTCTTGCTAAGACTTTAAAAGAGCTTGAAACTATCTAGAGAGCTTACCTACAAAAAAGTTATTGTCAACGTAGATTTAGTGCAGATTCATACAATTAATTCGGTAGTTGGTTGGGATATAGTGAAAGTAAAGACAAGGTATATTTTTTATGTTGCTACCTTTGTAAGGTTGGCGAAGGTGCAAAAGAGGGTGGTGATAAATTTGTGTGTGAAGGTTAGAAGATTTTACAAAAAAAAAAAGACAGAGTTTGAGAACATAGGAGAAAAATCATAATAGTGTACATCAACATTGCTACATGGCTTGTCAAGATTTAATGAATAACAAAGGTCAGATGTTCCTGTTGCAAACAAAAAAGAATTAAAAAATGTGACTACTACATTTGGTTGGGTACAACAACTATGGCCATTACATATCTCTTAAGGCAATGATTTGGATTGCGGGGGCATGATGAATCAAAGGAGACGTTAAATAAAGGTAATTTTGTTGAGCTTATCAAGGTGATGGTGAAATATAACGATGACGAAAGCACCAAGTATTCAACAAACAATTATCAGTTAATTTGTCAATTTTGTCTCGGAGGCTATTACTCAATTTGATTTCTTTGATTTGTTAGTTGACAAGACACGTGATGTCTCCATTAAAGAACAAATGACCGTTGGTTTACGTTATGTGACCGGTGAACGGAAAATCATTTAACGGTGTATTAGCGTTGTTCTTGTTCCAAACACTACTGCCCCATGTTTGAAATTTTCTTTTCAATATCTTCTTACAAATTTTGGCTTGATCTTGTCACGTGTGTGTGGCCAAGTTTATAATGGAGCTAGTAACATGCAAGGGGAGTTTAATAGTTTGAAGTAATTTAATATTGAAAGAAAACAAGTCTAGTTTTTATATCCATTGTTTTGCTCATCAACTTCAGTTCGCTCTTGTGCAAATCACTAAGAAGAATAAGAAGTTATGTGAGTTTTTTGGTTCTCTTGCATTGTTAGCAAATATTACTGGAGGTTCTTGTAAACGTAAAGAGTTTCTTCGAGAGAAACAATGCGAGCAAAAATTCTTTTGATATATAATTGTGTAACTGGTAGGGGTTTGAATCATGCAGCCACTTTTTAAAGGCACGAAGATGTACGTTGAAATTCATATTAGTTCACAATCTTGAGTCGGTGGTCGATGTACTAGAGTATTTAGCAAATAATGCTGATGATGTTGCTCATTGTGGACAAGCCACAATTCTTTTAAGAAATATTGAGTGCTTTGGTTTTGCCTTTACTTCGCACTTAATCAGATCGGTCATGGAATCACAAATGATTTCTCGCAAGCACTACAGAAAAAAATACAAAGACCTTGCAAATGTAATGAAACTTGTTATTTTTGCTAAAGATCGATTACTAGAATTGGGTGAAGATGGGTGGGGCAAATTGTTGAAAGAAGATTCTGACTTTTTTGTTGAGCATGACATCCTTGTCCCAAACATGGAGGATACTTTTCTACTTTACTCAAGAGATGACAGAGTAATCCGGAGAGGTATGCAAATTACAAACTTGAATCATTACCAGATTGAGGTGCTTTACGGAATGATAGATCTTCAACTTTCAGAGATGAACGATTATTTTGATAATACCAATACGAAGTTAATTAGTTTGATATCGTGTTTTGATAGTAATTCATTCTCTTCAATTGATATAAAGGCCTTGGTGAAATTAGTAGAATTTTATCCAGACCAGTTTGATGATCGTTGTCTTAACATGAAAATCAACTGGAAAATGTTATTAGAGATATTAGAAGTGATCAAGATTTTTCAAATATGGTGGGGGCTAGGAGGCCTGTTGAGAAGTTGGTTGCATAGAGAAAGAATATTACTTACCCATCGGTGTACATGCTATTGTAATTGTCATTAATTTTGCCGGATGCAACCGCATAAGTGGAAAGGGTATTGTCCGCAATGAAGATTGTCAAGTGAGAACTACGCAATCGTATGGGGGGTCAAAAGTTGAATGATATTTTGGCGTCGTACGTTGAAAAATATACATTAGACAATGTTAGTATCAACAAATTGAATTTCTTTCAATAAATGGGACCACATCGAAAGATATTTTAGAACTTTTTATTTGTATATCAAAAAAGCAGTACTTTATTGTTTTTTCCCCGTCTTTATTGTTTATATATTTGTTTTGCATTAAATTTCGAACACCCTTGGCTAAAATCTTGAATTCGCTGCCCCGTAATTATGTTCGATAAGCAAGGATTATTTGTCGAGCTGGATTAGTATACTAATACATAAGCGCGAGCTTATAATGTACTTATATATAAAATGAAAGTGGCCTACTATCCCTAATTTTGGTCGAGAGGCCAAGAAGTGTTTGTCGAGCTGAACTAGTATGATGATACCTAAGTGTGAAATTGTAATGAGCTGAAAAATCAAATGGAGCCTACTTCTCCTAGTTTTAGTCGAGAAGCAACGAGTGTTTGTCAAGCTGAACTAGTGATCGGGTCTGTTGGCGCCAGATTTTTACCGAGAAAGAAATCCGCCTCACTTGGGAAGTAAAGATTGGCGAAAGATTTGTTCCCATGTTTATTTTGGAAATTTAGAGTCCTACCTTTGTAATTCTTTAGGACTTAGATTTATTTCCTTGTACTTTACTCTTGTTAGGAATCTTTTATAGTTATCTAGATTAGAACTAGATATTGACTAGGATTTTGTTTCCTAGTTATTCGGTTCCTTTAGAAGACATGTCTTTTGAGGCCGATCACAAGCCTATATAAGGCTCCTCACCTCACAAAGACCGTGACACTTTTATTGGGAGAAAAATCACTGCATAGCTTTGTAGAATCGCTGAAACGTTCTGCTGAACAGATTTGTGCCATCGTTGGATGTGTCAACATATACATATTTGTTGTATAGATCTCTTGAGAGATCAACCGCGTCACTGAAGGGAGTTCAGGCCAGAAAGGAGTTCTAGGCACGCGGTGTGGAGCTGCTGTTGGAAGAAAACACGAAGTTCGAGTTGTGTGCAAGAACGGCATATTACATAAAGAGGGAGTCTTTAGTGTTTTTATTAAGTCCTATTAATGTACACTATAAAACTGAACTAGTGAAATCGTGTTTGCAGGTCTACGTGGATGTAGGGAACAATTGTGTCTGAACCACATCAATTCTTGTGTTCTGTCTATTTACTTTAAGTAGAGTATAACTGTGTCAACACAAGATTTACAGTTGTAACTGAATACTGTTTCCACAACTTAACTGTTACAACTTAGGTTAATTGATTTCTATAGGCATATAAATCAACAGGGTCCATAAGAGCGATCTTAATTCTTATGATGAGGTGAAAATTTTCATTTCGTTATATGATCGAAATGCTTAACATACTTGCAAAATCACA